TTAGCTGGCTGGTATAGTATTAGGAGAACAGATTCAATCATTCATTCATTCATTCATTCATTCATTCATTCATTCATTCATTCATTCATTCATTTTCTTTTCGACTTAGTTCCTTTATTATTATGATTATTATTATTTTCTACCTAGAGAAAAATGTTGAGATATGAAAAGTTATTGATTTTGTAATAAGTGAATAGAAATAATCTTGAATTTTTTTTTACTAAACTGAAAATACATAATTATAAGCATTTACTGCATAATTTCATGCACTTAATGTTTTTTTAAATATTGCATTTCATCGAATAAAATATTTCTGGTTTATTATGATAATTTTATTTTATTGTTATTAAACAGTGTGACCCATTTGGGTTAAAATATTTGCTACTGCTTTAAAAATAATCCTAAAATAAAACTTTTGTGTAGGGTCAGTTATCATCAAACCATATTGTCACTATTCACAGTGTATATTGGTGCGTTTTTTTTAATTGTGACTAGTGTATCATGACACCATATTTACAGTTGAAGTCAGAATTATTAACCCCCCTTTTGGATTTGATTTTATTTATTTATTTATTCATTTTCCAAATGATGTTTAACAGAGCAAGGAAATTTTCATAGTATGTCTGATAATATTTTTTATTCAGGAAAAAGTCTTATTTGTTTTATTTAGGCTACAATAAAAGCAGTTTTAAAAATTTTAAACAAATTTAGGGATAAAATTATTAGCCCTTTTAAGCTATACATTTTTTAATAGTCTACAGAAAAAAACACTGTTATACAATAACTTGCCTAATTACCCTAACCTGCTTAGTTTACCCAATTAACCTAGTTAAGCCTTTAAATGTCACTTTACACTGTAGAGAAGTGTCTTGAAAAATATCTAGTCAAATATTATTTACTGTCATCATGGCAAAGATAAAATAAATCAGTTATTAGAGATGAGTTATTCAAACTATTATGTTTAGAAATGTGTTGAAAAAAATCTGCTCTCTGTTAACAGAAATTGGGGAAAAATTAAACAGGGGGCAAATAATTCAGGAGGGCTAATAATTCTGACGTCAACTGTACATTAACATATTTTATTGTTTTACAGATCATGTGATTCTCACACAAATCTGGAAATACATAATGGTTCATATAGAAGATCCATACCTGATGCTTAGCAGAAAGCCTCTTCCCACTACCACAACAAGCCCCACCCCCTGACATGAGCCACGCCTACATTGATGAGAATCTCCGAGATTAGCATCAGAAATCTGACAAACTATGATGAATATGGCGTTTATTAAACAGGAGATTGATGACCTGAGTGATCCAGAACCATCCAGAATGAATCATGAAGATGCTGAGAAGCAAACAGGTTGGAGTTTAAATGTTGATACCTAATTATTAGCTGTAAAGTAACACGATAGGATCATAGAATGTCATTTCAGCACAACTCAACAGGTTTTTGTCAGTCAGACAGTTTTAAAAGCATCTTTCCTCAAGTGCAGGCTGCAATTCAACATTTAAATCAACAAAACTAATGTACATAGTTTACAATGCACCTAACCGGCGAGTGCAAACTTTAAACAACAATGTAAGCGTAATCCTGCTGGTCCTGCGCAACTCAACCCGCTCCAAGCTGGTATCGAACCAGTGACCCTCCGTATGGAAGTCGAATGCTCTACCAAGCAGACTATAGACCAGGGGTTCTCAACTAGTATGGCCATGGGACCCACATTTTTACATGGTCATCAAGCTGCGACCCAAATTTTTAGGAACTATAATACAATTTTAGGAATTATACTTAATTTGTGTTTATTTGTTAACATAAACAAGTAGTGACAGATACATCATAATAAATTCACCAAGACTTTCAAATAAACACTATTTTATTCCTGTCATTTAACAAAATGGATCAAATTATAGAAATATTACAAAGTAAAAACGACAAATACTGTTAATAATAAACTGTTCATACATATTCAGGGTCGTACTTGCGCTTTGACATATTTGTTGCAAAAATGAAATGAAATTTCACATGTCAAACGGTAGGGTTGTCGCGCACACATTTCAAAATAAAAGTCCAGCATAAGCAAATTAAGTAAAAAATTTTACTTTTGTTTTTTTTTTTTGATCGCACCCTTTCGAAAGGGTCCCAAACTGCAGAAAGAGTCCCAAAAGGTGGAGCTACATGCGCAGCTGAACGCTATTGGTTTACAAAGATACGTCATTCGTAGACTCAACAAGCCACAATGTAAACAAAGGACCCGCCATGTTTGAAATACACAGCGAGAGATAACAGCGGAATTATAAATACATATGCTGCCATGCAAACAAACCCTGTCGTCGTCAGGATAAACAGCCACAAAGCCATGGAGAAGAGCAGATTCACCCTGTGCCGCGTAGTTTTTAACAAGCCAGTCTGAAGCCCGAGTGGTTTCGCTGTCTTTCTTGCGCTCGCCGCGCGTCTCTATCTGAAATAACAAACTTCTTGATCTGATGATAATAACATGCACTTGATTATTGACAAGCTTTTGGAAACCCGATCCTGTGAGAAGCTGACAAACGCGAGTGACACATTCAGAAAGAAAAGGACAAACGCGAGAGTGGAGCGCAGAAAAAACGGCGAAGCCAAGGAGCACGCTATTTTTTCAGCAAACGTGAACAAACTGCCTTGTTTTAATCTTAATTATCACCTTTTGGACTAATATGAACTGGGAATGATGGAATGGCTCTCTAACAGAGTTTTCATGTGCTGCTGAAGATTACAGACACAGATGAGAGGTTTGCACTGACTGTAGGCTATACTTTCTGTTGTTTTGAACCTAATTAACGACGAAATGTCTGCTTTGAGTAGTTCTTCTGTAGTTGGTAACATATCGGAGACTGTAAGGGTCTGTATGTGTTCATATATGTTCATTTATTTATTTATTTAATATAATTACAGACGTTACAGTAGGCTATTTCACACCGTCATTGATCTGCAGTTATAAACAACTCCTGTTTATAGAAAAGTTAGTAATAAACATTTATACACAAGTATTTGTGTGTGTAAAGCGTCTGTTTTGTAAGAAGTGCTTTTCATATGATATGTGAACGACCTGTGCAGCTTTATTGTAGACATTTTCTCGAGCGAAAATGACGTCGACTGAAACTTTGTCATATACCACACCCACCAAAAGGGTACCCTTGGTAGTGGAAATGCAAGCCTGATAAAGGTGACCCGTACCGACCCGAACCGTACCGTACTGTACCAGTCAGTGGAAACGAGCCATAATTGTAGTGTTTTTGTTATTTGCATGCATCCAGTGTCTAAAAGTAACATAATTTGAATTCTCTGTATGTCTCTAATTGTAGCACAATCAACAATAAAGCTGACCTTGACTTTAAATATGTTTATATTAGACTGGATGGAAGTGATAGAGCAAAGCCACAAACTGAACCAAGCAGAAGACGCGGAAGAAGGCATCAAAGCGCACGCAACAGACGAGGAAAAGCTGCAGGTCTGCTCGCAGTGCGGAAAGAGTTTCAACCAAAGGAGCAACCTGAACATACACATGCGGATACACACCGGGGAGAAGCCGCACTCCTGCCGTCACTGCGGGAAGAGCTTCACCTTCGCATCCGGTCTGAGTTATCATCTGCTCATTCACTCCGGGGAAAAGCCGTTTCACTGCGAGCAGTGTCCCAGAAAGTTCATTTCAGCCTCGCATCTCAAAAAACACATGCTCGTCCATACTAATGAGAAGCCGTACGCATGCTCTGTGTGCGGAAAGAGTTTTTCCTGCTTGTGTTATTACAAACAGCATCAGAAAACCCATGATGAAGTGAGAGACCACGTGTGCTGTGATTGTGGGAAGAGCTTCAAAACGGCTCTCCAGCTGAAAAGGCACCAGATTGTTCACACTGGCGAAAGACCCTACAAGTGCTCGTACTGTGAGAAGAGATTCAATCAGTCTGGACACCTTAAAGTGCACGAGCGAATTCACACTGGGGAGAGGCCGTATCACTGCACTCAGTGTGGAAAGACTTTTAAATGCACCAACACGTTCAGTAATCACCTGCGGGTTCACTCTGAGGAAAGGGCGTATCAATGCGATCAGTGCGGGAAAGACTTTACCACATCGTCAAATCTGAAACAGCATCTGAAGGTTCATTTAGACGAGAAGCCGCACTTGTGCTCCGTCTGTGGGAAGGGATTTTCAAGGCTGGCCAATTGTAGAAAGCACCAGAAAATACATAATGATGTGAGAGTTCGAGTGTGTTGAGATTTTTTTAGGGCTTTAACCAGTTAAACTCAGTTAAACTTTGCCTACCCAAATTTAAAAGCTTCCCAAATCCACATGCAGAGGTGTCAATGCAAAAATTTGGTATCATTTTAAAGAAAACCCTTTGCATTTTCATAAAACACTATTGAAAGTGTTTAAAATAACTGTATATGTCCTCTGTGTGATAATAAACACCTAAAAAAGAGGCGCTTTTAGTATTTTTTTTTTTATAAACTCAAATTTGAAAGTGTATCTTTTAGGTTCTGTGTGGTCTAGGCTGCTGTAATTAATGTTGGTGGTTCCTGCACACGTCTGTAATCATAGGAAAAAAGAAAAATGTCTCCACCATAATCTATGCAAAAGTTATTGTATTCCAACTGATGAGAGGTGCTGTACAAGCCACAGGGAGCGATCCTTGTTTTCATATTTCACTATTCTTTTGTTTGATCAAACATAATTCACTGTGTTTAGAGCACGTCAGACATATAAAAGGATTACTTATGCACATCACCTCAAAAACAGAGGAGAATGGCCCTGAAGCGCACAGCATAAGGTAAGAGATGACAGCTGTCTGTGCTATCTGGGGCTGCTTATTGATCATAAATGTATTGTTATTGTTGTGAGAAATTAAAGTGTTTTTGGCTGTAAGACGTAGTTTGGACGAAGTTGTCGGCGACTCTTCGTATGGTAAAGTCACTCAATGTGAAAGCCCCTGTCGCCGATCCATCTTGCAGTGTAAACAAAGCAGCGACAAAACGCTAGCCCAGGGGCCTGTTTCAGAAAGGAGGTTAAGTGAAAACTCGGAGTATTTTAACCCTGAAATGAGAGAAACTCTGGGTTTTCGGTTTCATAATGGCAGGTTTGTTAAACTCAAGAAATCATGGTAAGTCAAGCCTGTTTCTGAAAGAAAGGTAACTTTAACTCAGAGTCAGTTACTGTGGTAACTTACTCTGTGAATCTAACCTAGTCCGGAGCAGGTTTTATTCTCTAAACTCAGAGTTTCTGTCGGTCTCCTCCCCTTTTTTAAAGATGATGCGTATTTCTCGCCTTAGCCTTACGTTTCCACACACCTATTTTAGAGCTCATTTTGGAGATGACCATAAAACGATTGATGGAAACGTCATGATTCAAATAACTTTTGAAAATATGCATAAAAACGTGCATAACTGAGTAGGTTAAACTTTTATTTGATAAGAAAAGATGCGCATAAACTACGAAGTGCACTTAACAAATTACAGTATGTACATTAAAAAAAAGTTTGTTAGAGATGATGATGAAAATGTGTGTGAATGGACAAACCAGCTGACTGAGCACACTGCAGAACATCTTAAATGTTGTTTTAGTCAATCTAAAATGCCTGAACTGTTTCAGTATTAGTGTATATTATTAATTACCTCTGAGCGTCTGGAGCGTGTCAAGATCTCCGCGTCTGGCTTCAAACGCCCCCACGTGTTCATTGTGTCTTCTGAGGCGCAAGTATTAAATAAAAAATCATTAACGCATCTTCTTCTACCACAGTAAATTCTGTTTTTACTGTTGATATTTGGCGCAAGTTAATCAGGAAGTGACGATTGTGTTCTCTTTGACTCGTTGGATAAAAACGCTGCTTTATTCGCATCTTTTAGGCGTTATTCCAGTTTTGCACAAATTTATGTAAGCCTGTATTTTGATGGAAACATAGCTATTAGCCCCTTTCACACATACAGACCTTTTCCGGAAAGGTTGTATGTGTGAACAGGTCCTTTTTGAAAATACCAGTAAATTCGTTCTGGCTATTTTCCGGAAAGAGAAGTTGTAACATTACCGGCAATTTGCCGGAATGCTGCGCTGTGTGAATGCAGACGGAAGATTCCCGTAATAAGCGCGTGCACGTCTAGAACGTGCTGACGTGAGACGTCTGCTTTAGCCAATCACAACAGTCAGACGCATTTACGTCCGCGCGGTTTGTGAGGATAAAAGCCTTTGAATATTTTTCCAGACACATTTAGCTGCTAGATGTTAGTCAGATCACGTTAATATGTTCATCCTAATGCCAACTGTGTAAATAATCATCGATGAGATGCTTATGATAAGCCGTTGTTTGTTTACCTTCAAGCTTTACGTGTGCCTGTGAAACAGCCTGTGAGCGCCTGCACACGCACATATTATGAACATCTCGACATGCGAAAGTGATCCTGCGAAAGTTGTTCACAATATTGATCATCCACAGAGTTTGTAATGTAGTCAAATGTTTACAAATACAAGCGCAGCCGTTTAAAGCTCATTTGTGGTGAATGATGTCAGAATTTACCGGTATTTTGGAATGGATGTGTGAATGCTCTTTTCCGGAAAATTTCCGTAACGTCCTCGCCTGTGTGAACAGCGCTTTTTTCAATATACCGGTAAAGTCTTTCCGGAAATTTTCCAGATATTTACCGGTATCACTGTGTGAAAGGGGCTATTGCCTACATTTTTTGTCACACACAGAACAAAGTCACGTACAAGGCTTGTCCTTTTTTCCATAAATATTTAGCTTAACCTTCGACATGTACTGTTACTAGATTAATGGGATTATTATTCTGTCTAAAAATTATTTTCAGCACTGCTTAGGTTCTTAATGTTATATCAACCTCTATCACTTGATCAATAAAAAGGCAGACACATAACAAGTGCACTGTTAAATCTATTAAAACTGATAAACGTGTATAAAAGTTTAGAAAAAAGTATAAACGTCACACATTATATTACTTATTTTATTATACTTAAATGTTGAAATAATTTAAATAAAAAAATACGCATTAACTTGAGCAGCTTTCCCAGGCTAACTGTCTCTGTTTCACTGATGGCTGCTTCTTTTTAAATATATACGCTCATATTTGCTAAAACTTTGCATGAGCAGATCAAGTTCAGCTGGGAAAAGAAATGGTGATCTCTTTTTTTAAGATGTTGCCATGGTCACTCATAATATCTGCGCTCCATTGATAATGCCTTTTTATAGTCACGGTGTGCGCGCTTAACTCTGAGTTGGTCTACTCAAAGTTGATTGACCCAACTCAGATCAGCTGTTCTGAAACCGTTAAAGTTTTTAATCTCTCGGTAAATCAACTCAGAGTTCAAGTTTAAACTCCGAGTTGTTTGAACCTCCTTACTGAAACAGGCCCCAGATTGTCATGCAGTGTGAAAACATGTGACACGACGACTTTGAAAATCATGCAGTCTGAACTCGGCATTAATGAGCTTAAAAAGATGTGCAGGTGAAAAAATATAAGTGAAGGATTCGGATTTCTGCTTTCCAATTCGTCTCATCATGGACCAACGTTTATCCTTTTCATCATCCTGTTTCTCAGTTTTTAACTGTGAATTGATTTTAATTAATAAGTGAACACATTGCTTAATATAAGAATGTTCAGTGCATTTGCCTGTCTCTAACTATTTTCAGAAGCCACCAAACTAGGTCAGAGGTCACGAAGACCTTGAGTGGAACTGAGGGCTGAGGACTGGAAGCAACTGTTTCTATTGTTATTTCTACGAGTTAATACTGTCTAAAATGTCTAAAGTGATTTTGCAATTTTTACAGTTAATTCTTTTATAGTGATTCTACTTTTTATTCAAGATAGACTTGGTGTAGTAAGGAATTATAACTGCCTGAATGTAGATTATACAGGTTTTTAACCAGTTTTGATAAAGACGGTTGAGAGTACACTCAGCCTTGAATAAGAAACAGATTATACTTTGTGTGTGTGTGTGTTCTATTTAATTGTTGATCCGTTTCACAGGTCTGGAGTCAGCTCTAATCAGTCTAGTGGATGTCTGACGTTTATGCTTAAGATAATGTTTAGAATTGTACGCACGAACCCCACGTGGAAATTTTTCTAGTCTATCTGTGTTTTAGGTTAGAACACCTCTATGTATGACGTTAATGACGTTATGTGAAAGTATAATTGTTATTGATTGGTGATTGTAAGCAGAGCGGCCTAGGAACTCATGGCGAGTGTTGAAGCTGGCTTCTGCGGATGAAACTGCAAACTATCTTCAGTAAACTTGATTTATTTATTTAAATCTCTGACTCCGGCTCTTCTTCCTCTACCAGACTGGTCATTCTTTGGGTTAAACTGTAAACTATCCCTACATATGCAATCTATTTACTGTTCAAATCAAAATCAAATCACTTTTATTGTCACATCAGCAGCAGCACGTGTGCTATGATAAGTGAAAAGCTTAGGTGCTGGCTCCAGACAGTGCAAAATACAGACAGTGCAACATTCAGACTGTGCAAATACAACAACAGTGCAAAAAACAACAGCACACTCCTCAAAAAAACAGAAAACAGGACTATGTGAAATTGACAGCGATATGTTCAATGAATAGGTGTCCACATAGGCAGTTGTAGGCAGTATTGGTTTAAGTATGGATTGGTTAAAGTGCAGTGCATGCTACATATTGATGGTGTGCAGTAAGGCGTATGGAAGTGTAAGATGGCTAAATCTCTCCAGAATATCAGACCCTGATAACTCTTATGGATTTCCATGAGGCAAGACCATAAGAATTCCCAGGTGAAAAAAAAATATAAATAAATGCAATTAAAATACACTTAAATACCCGCAAATACATTTTTAGTACATTGTTATTTTTTTGTGTTAAATAAAAGTTTGATGGTTTTACACTATAAATATACTAATTAAAAGTATGTTTATACTTCAGTAGGACTTTAGTACACTTGACAAAAGTATACCAAATACCAGTAATACTTAAATACATTTTTAGTGTACTACAATAAAGTACACTACAGAAAAAACATCCAAAACAGTTGTATTAGTGTGTTTTTCAAAAGTGTGCTTTAAATGCTTTACACATTAGTTGATTTTTAGTACACTGTTTACATACTAATCCTAAGTTTAAAATAAGTTAATATATAAAAAATCTTTTAGTAATGTATTGTAGTAGAAGTACATTTTCCCAAAAGTTAAGTACTTAAGTAACTTAAGTAACTTAACTTAAGTACTCTTAATGTGAATGCATTATCATCACTAACACTTAAATAGATTTTGAGTGTGGTCATTTTAAGTTTTTAAGTAATTTTAAGTAGAAGTACATTTTCCCAAAATGTCTTTACATTTCATATATGTGCTGTAATGTTGCATCTTATTTATATTTTTGTGTTCTCAGTTTTTGCTAAGTTTTTGTT